GGGGCAGGGGTGGGGGCGGGGGCCGCTTTGGCCTCTGGTGTCTTGGCAGCTTCTTTCCCAGGTTGCTGAGGGGCCTTGCTGACAGGTGGCATCTTCACCACACCCTCTGCACCCCTGGGCTGCTCGCTGACTGCTGTCACGTGTGGATGCACCATGATGCGAACATCGCGGGGCACGGTGTAGGGGTGCAGCCGGTACTCGGACTGCATGACCAGCACCTCGGACTGCACGGGGGCTGCGGCTCGAGCCACAGGGAGGTGGTAGTGCACTTCTTCCTCGGGGCCGTGCTGGGGGGCTAGAGAGGGCACTCCAGCCGTGGCGGGCTGTGGGGTGCCTGCGCGCTGTGGGGCCCGCACCTCTATCTGCTGCGGCTGCAGGGGGGCCCGAGGAGAGTGTAGCGTTTCTGGCCGGATGCTGTAGGTGATGCTGGGCAGGGTGGGCGTGTTCATCCTCACCTCACCCTGTGACAAGTGGCCAAGGGACACAGTCTGGGTGATGCTGTGGGGCGGCATGATGACAGACTGCTCTGGGTGGATGCTAGAGATAAACTGAGGCACTGGGATGCCTGCGGCCAGCATGACCGTGGCGTTGGTAGAGAGCGCCGTGGACGCGGTGCTGCTGGGGTGGCACGCCCGGGGGAAGGGGGTTGGCGCAGGCCCGCTGGGTCGCGGAGAGTGTGTGTCTGGCTTGGTGGCTGCCAGGTGGGAGACCGCTCGGTCTGTCGGTGTGCTGGGCCCCGAGCTGGCATGGTTCACTTCTGCAGGCAGCTTACTGGGCAGAGCAGGAGGGTGGTGGGGCGTGAGTGTAGAACCAAGGTTGGCTGGCTGAAGGACCTTGGTCTCTATCTTGAGGGTGACAGGGTCAGCAAGCTTTTTATTAGTGGTGACAATGCTTGGGGTGAGGACCAGCTGGTTGTGGACCAGGACTGGCGGTGTGTTTATGCCCTGGGTGAGAACCTTCACTGTGCCACCCTGGGTGACAGGGGTGGACACAGAGAGATGGATGGGCTCAGGCTTCTCTAGGGATGGGCGGTCGGCCTTGACAGAGGAGATCACAGGGGAGGCATTGTAAGTCTGGGCAGTCAGCACCAGGGTGGAATGGGTGGCCACGTTCGCAAAGCCGGAGGGAGCTTGAGGGCCTTTGGGTGCAGGCTGCGATGGTGTGACAGAATCAGGTTTCACCTGGGACTTGGACACCGACTGCTGAAATTCAATGTCCATTGCACTGGCCGGGGGGATCTGGCTAATCTTGGCACTGATCCGCTGCGGGCCTTCAGTCTTCTGCCCCGAGTAGCTCAGGAGCACAACCCCCTCCGAAGTGTTCACGCGGAGCCCCGCACCAGACCCTGCGTCTGCGGGACGGTCATCAATCACAGACATGGACCCAGGGTGGAAGCGACTATTTTCGTTACTGCTTGATCTTTGTTTGCACTTTGCTGATGGTGCAATCACTGCACCTGTCATAGCTGCCGCACCTGCCGTGGCAGTCACACCACCAGATGCAGCAGTCACTGCACCTGCTGTGACTGTCACTGCACCCCCAGTGGCATTCACTACTCCTGTGGCAGCGTTCACCGTGCCGGCAGCGGCATTCACTGTACCTACAGTAGCGTTCACTGGCGTGGTGAGGACGTTCACCGGCCCCGTAAGAACGTTCACAGGCCCCTTCAGGACATTCACAGGCCCCGCAGGGGTGCTCACTAACCCTTTCAGCGTGGCCACTGACCCCTTCACGGGGCCTTTCAGGGCATTCACTGGGACCAGGGAGACGTTCACCAGGCCAGTCAGGGCACTCACCAGGCCAGTCAGAGTCTGAGGAGCTGGTTTTGCCAGGGTTATCTTCTGTGAATTCTCCAAATCGATGCTGACAGGCATCCGGCTGATAACAGATGTAATTTTAGGAGCAATGACTGGAGCCACCTTCTCCTTGTCAGTGGCTACTGGAACCTCTGAGGCTTGCACGTCAGAGGCGTTTGTTACTGGAGCTGCTGGTCTGTCCTCTACAGGAGGCTTTTTAGATTCAACTGGAGCAGCTGGTGCCTCATGTAGGCAAGGGGCAGCACTTACAGGCTCTGCGATGGCCGTGGTGACACTTGTTGACGTGGTGACACTTGCAGACACGTATTTGGGGTCCATGAGGATCTTCCTCAGAGTACTGGAGCTAGTGTCCACGTCAGAGGCCTTGGTATCTGGGGGAAGAGCTGGAGACGGAGTGGACTGAGCCTGCGGCTCTTCCTGCCTGGTGATCCACTCTGTCACCTTAGGAGCGGGGCTCTGGTGTGACAGTCCCCCGGGGGTCAGCGGTGGTGGAAGCTTTGCAGCCGTTACAGAAGGAACTGTGGGTGGGGGGTTGCCTGAGTCACTGGGCGGGGTCACTGGGTCACTTTCAATGATGGAATGCACCTTGAACCTGGCCTGAGGCTCATCATCCACCGGTGCTGGCTGGGAAGACATGGGCAGGTCTGGGAGCACAGACGTTTTGGTTGGAGTCTTTTCCTCAACGCTGATTTCTTCGGACAAACTCTCTGCAGAGAGAGTCTTGCTCGGGTCAGAGGTACACGCCGGAGGAGGAGTAGAATGGGGCTTTTCACTCTGCTTTTCTTCCTGTGGAGGTTCTGGGGGTTGCACTATCACAGCCTCATTCACAGCAGGGCTCTTGCTTTCAGCCTGGGGAGACTCAGAGGCACGGGTCTCTGTGGCAGCGCTTGCCACCTTCCTATTTGTATTCCGTTTGCGGCGTGATCGAGTTGTCTTCTGGCGCCCTTTGTCTTTACGAGCAAGAGGAACTTCTACTCCCTTGGACCCTCTGGTTTCCTGGGCCAGCTGGGAGGGTTCACTGTCGTTCCCTCTGGCTTCCTTGGCATGTGCTGGGCTTCCTGAGGTATCAGAGGTGCTGACCGGTGGCCGAGAAGACTCTGCAGCAGCCTCCGTCTCTAAGATGCCGGACACGGCATCGTGGGTCTCAGGTTCTGCTTCTTCCTCTTGGGGCTGCGGGGCTTGCATCTGTGATGGCGGATCTGTCTGAGATTCTGCAGGGAATGGGGGAGGGGCAGCGAAATTTTCCTGCTCTCCAGAAATGTCACTCATGATAGATCCAATGGCGGCAGCCAGTTCTGTTTCACTTGCCTGGTGTGGGGGTTTGTCTCTGTCCTCTGTGGTGAGGCCCTCAGTTGTGCCTGCAGCTGCTGCCTTGCAGGCTGCATGGGCAGAGGTCTCAGTAAGCTTTGCAATATTCTCCACGGCCTGCTCCAGCTCCATCTGCCTGGCTAGCTGAGTGGCTTCTGGGGACACCCTGGAGGCAGACATGTCTTCCTCCTCTGGTTCCTTGCTGGGATCCACTGGATCATTTTTCAACTGGGACGAGGAACTACCTTCCTTATGAGGACTCTCGCTTTTCTCAGGGGAGACTGCTACGACCCCAGCTTCTGGTTCCTCGGCCTGTGCCACAGCCCCTGCGGCCTCCCCAGGACCAGCAGGTGGGCCTGCACTTTTCAGATGTGCAGATCTGTCCACTGCTGACCTTGAGTTTCGAGATCTTCCTCGCTTTGATTTGGAGTTTTTTTCAGGGGCTGGCTTTTTCTCTACCACCTCAACAGGAGGAGTGTCAGGTACATTTTTGTCTGTGATGGTTTCTTTTTTGTCACGCTTCTGTTCACTTCCTGCTTCTTCAGCTTTGGACCTGGTGTTATTTTCTTTCATGTTCACTTGGGGACCCACTTCAGTGGGAGCCTCAGCACACTCAGCACCAACTTTTGGTTCATTTTTCCCCCTTTTCCCTTGGGAACCGCCAGTGGCTGCTGATTTTTGAGACCTCGGGGACCTCCACCCCTCAGCTGGCTTCAGTGTTTCCGTGGGTTCCTTGGCCTCCGCCTCTTCCTCCTCCTCAGCGCGACGGCGTGTTTTTGGAGGCCGGCCCCTCCGTGGAGTGGTAGGAACCGGCGCTGCCTCCTGAAGCTCTCGCTCCAGTCTCTTCCTGGTCACTCGAGGCTGCTCTACAGGTTCTTTGGCAGGAGAGCGGTTTTCATGGTCACTCATGGTTGCATAAACACTCCTCACATTCCGGCGCCTTGTTCGGCTGAGAGGCAAACTTGGCTCAGGGTGCTCAGGGTCCCCCACAGAGTTTTTAGAAGCAGTCCTTGTAATCTTCTCTGCTTCCATCTTCAATTCTAAAAGCTTCTGTGCTTCTCCCCGAGGAGAACTGGCCCTCTTTAGCTTTTCCCGGTCTATCCTCTCACTCTTCCTAGTGACGGGCTTTTCCACGACACTTGCTGTAGCTGCCTGGATGGGCGTCTTGGCACGCTTACTTTTGCTTGGCTTCTTATCTTTTGTAGCAACTGGAGGCTCAGCATCTACATTTTCAGGAGCCTGAGGCTGAACCTCCGGAACAACTTCAGCTTTTGGATTTGCGTTAGGCTCAACTTTTGCAGCTGTATCTGGCTTTTCTGCTTTTGGCTCATCAGCTTCCTCAGGCTTCTGAGTTGGTTTTGAAGGTGGCTGAGTACTGTCAGGTTCTGGATCTCCCCTGCTCTCGACTGGGGAGGGCGAGGCCCCCGGAGCCGGAGGCTTGGCATCTGGGTGAGGCAGCTGCTCAGTGGATGAGCTTTCTTCAGCCGCAGAGGGCGCCACAGCAGCATCGTTACTGGTGTCCGCTCCCGCGGTCAGGTCTACCTGTTCCGGTTGTTCAACGGAGACGGGCGCCAGTTCCAATACTGGTTTTGCTTCTTCTGAGACAGAGGCTGGCTCCACAGTCTTCTCTTCTGTCACCAAAGCTGCCTCTGCGGTTTTTTCATTGGTTGTTTTTTCCGGTGCTGGTGACACTGACTCTGGAGTCATAACTGTGACACTGGGAGGTCCGGCTGAAGAAGGAGTTCTCAGTTCTGACTCTTTATTCTCAGAAGCAGATTCTGGGGTCTTGGGATGATTCTCTGTATCTTCCTGTCTTTCAACCTCTTTGGGTTTTTGGTCTTTTTCTTTCTGCTGCATTCGAGTGAGCTCCATAAATCGGCTATGGAATAGGACCACTGGCTCCTGAACGGAGTCACTTGTGCTATTTGCGCCATCGGACATCTGCCGCCCGTACAACCGGCCAGGAGTGAAGTCAGACTCTTCATCCTTCCTCTCCAGATGCTGCAGTCGCTTGGAATCTTGCTCAAAGATGGAGCTGTGTAAAAAACGGGACGCAAATAATTCTTGCCTTTCCTGCTCTTCTTCTTTATGATTATCTTTTTTATCATCCATTTTTCCTTCTGAATCAGTTCTGATTTTCTTTTTTTTCATGTACCAGGATGGAATAGGTCTTGGAGCAGAGTCAACCTTTTCTTTATCTTTGTTGTTTCGAAAATTAGCAAACCGAGAGTCCCAGTCAAGAAAAGACCAATTTTCTTCTCGGGATGAAGAAAGGGATTTAGCTCTTTCAAGCAAAGCTTTAGTGTCTGGTGTGATTGTCTTATCCAGTGCAAAAGAGTAAAATTTGTTCCTTTCTAAAGAAGTAGAGAGTCTTTCATCTCGCTCACGTAATTTGTCTTCTCTGTCCCTCAATAAAAAAGACAATCGAGAGCTTTCATACAGTGCAGAAGCTCTGGGTGAGTGGGATTTATGTTCACCATCTTCATCAGAATCCGAAGGCACCTCGCCAGGTTCCAAGTCCCGAACAGACCTTTTTCGAAGACTGTCTCTCTTAATTATGCTGTTTGGGAAACTCACATCAAATCTGCTGCTATCTTGTTTTATTTGAGAATCCCAACGATTTAGTTCCTCTTCAGAATTCAAGACAGATAGCTTTATTTTGGCCATGTCTGCCATCTGTTCCCTCCTACTGGAATCATAAGGGTTAAATTTTAAGGACTCTTCCCTCACTGTTATACTAGAATAGGGGAGACTTTTCTCATCTACTTTGGGAGACCCTTTTACTGATGTTAGCCTTGGAGAGCTGAGAGGGTCATCGTCCTCGTGGAAGGAACCATGGCGAATGCTGGGAGAACAGCTAGTCCTTTCGGAATCCTCACTGATTTGCCGTGAGCTTCTGTAATTCCTCTCTCTCTTGGTGCAGATATCAAAGTCAACGTGATCCATCCTTTTCTTCTTGCTGGGAGGGGAGTCATCGGTGACATCTTGCGGAGGTTTGCCTACCTCATGAACGAGGCTCCTTCTTTCATACTCATCTACATCTTTTTTAGGACTGCCGAACTTCTCAGACTTGGCTATTTCCATCTCCATCTGCTGTTTTCTACGACTCTGTTCCATTTGTTTTCGGTAACTCTGTGTGTGATCAATGTCGATGCCAGTTTTCTCCTCAGTGTTCACTGCACGAGGTCTGTCCTGGCCCGGCTTACGCTCAGGTGTCTCATCACGAAGGCCGCAATAGTTTTTCCTGACATCGTCTCTCTCTGGTCCTTGATCGTCTAGGAGCTGCAGCTGTTTGAGCTGCGGTTTTGAAGGGTTCGGTTTTTTGGACTGGATTTCTTGATTTTCTGCAGATTCAACTACTGGCTCTCCCAATCTTGCTTGTAGCTCTGAGCTGGGCCTCAAGCCAGACCCAGCAGAAACACTGACAAGCTCCTGACAGTCTTTGGGACTGGGAACAGTATTGAGTCTGTCCACTTTGATTTTTTTAGATTCTCTTTTAAGAATTTCTTTTCTCACAGGCTTTCTTTCACACTCTCCTTCCCTTAGTAAAATAACATCTCGAGATGACACATCAGGCTGCTTTTTCAGAAGCACCCGAGTATCTTCCATTTCGGGACTACTTTTCTTGACTTCTGGTTTTTGCCTTTCTACTTTTAAATTGGAATCTGCAAATCGCCTTTTCCTTGCTTCCAGCTTCTCCACATCTGCAGCACTCAACCCATCAGCAGTCTGCTCTGGCTTGAGGTGCTTCCTGGGTTTGGGCCTGACTTCCTTATCCACCGCGTCAGGGTGGCTTGCCAGGGTCTTTTCCTTCGGCACTTTCACGCGAACAGACTCCAGTTTTGACAGGTCCAGTTTTGCAGGCTCAGCCTGAGAGATCTGAAGTTTCTGGTCCAGGGCAGAAGCCTTGCTGGTATCATTATCGAGTCTGGCTCTCAGCTTCTCCAGTGGAGTGTGGTCGATGACTTTTCCCTCTTTTTCTTTTACTCGAGTCAAAACCACACAAGGCATGAGTTCCAAGCGGTTTTTTGCTATTCCCTCTTTGTCGGCTTTTTCTCTGCTTAGTTTATTAGAACTTCTTGGTTTTTCAGGGCTCTGTTCTCGCTCATTTTCTTGGTCGGTCTCTGAAGACTGAGAACTAGGGGAATGAACTTTTCCTTTTCGTTTCTGCTTGTCAGTTTTGTCCTTTTCCACTTTATCCTTCCGTATTAAGCGTCTTTCTCTCTCCACTCTCTCAGAATCAAAAGTCCGTTCTTTATCTGCCTTTTCATTTTTTGCATATCGCTCCAAACGAACCTTGTCCAGTTTATCGTACCGTGGAGGGGAGAGTGAGCTGCAGCTGCCACTGCGGTCTGAGGAGCGGCTATAAAGCCTCCTCTCGGAGTCACTGGCCAGCCTGTCTGCCTGGGAGGGGGATGCGCCGGGACTCTGAGGACGGCGCAAGTGCACTGGACTCTGACTCCGCTCAATGGGCCGTCTCTCGTGGTCTCTGTCCCGGTCAGACTCAAATCTTTCACGTTCTCTCTCTCGTTCCCTCTGTCTGTAACTGTACTCCCGGATATCTTGTTCATAAGGATCACTCCTGTAATCTCTGTATTCCCGAGGATCATCGTAATAGCGTGACTCATAGTAATCTCCTTGGTATGTTTCCCACTCCGAGTAGAATTCTCTCCCCCGAGCAGTATAGTCCCGCCTGGAGTCCTCAGCGTATGTGCCTGGAGTGCGAATGCTCTCATAATACGGCCGGTCTTGGTTATAGTCATAGGATCCCCTTCGCTCCTCTCTGCCAAACCAAAGAAGACTACCTTAGTGCTCTGCCTCATCACTTACATACTGTACTGTATATATACAAGATCAGAAAGCTCTATTCTAAATACCCTTAATGTTATTCCATCACTTGTTAACTGTAGTTGCTTTCCAACACGGCAGCCACTGAGCTTTTGGAATCTGACTAGTCTAAATTGAGATGTGGAGCCAGGTGTGGTGGCGCATACCTGTAACCCCAGCACTCAGGAGGCTGAGACAGGAAGATTGATGAGGCAGGAGGATCGTTGTGAGTTTGAGGCCAGTCTGGACTACAAAGTGAGCTCAAGGCCAGCCTGAACTGCAAAGTGAGACCTTGTCTCAAAAAGACAAAATAAATAAATAAATAAATTGAGATGTGTATGTAAAATACACACACTTCATTAAAGGGAAAAAAAAAAACCTCACACAAAAATGATATTTAAGGCCGGGCACGGTAGTGCATGCCTGTAATTCTAGCACTCGGGAGGCTGAGGCAGGAGGATGGTTGCGAGTTCAAGACCAGCCTGTGCTACAAAGCGAGCTCAAGGCCAGCCTGAACTGCACAGTGAGGCCCTATCTCAAAAAGACCAAAAAAAAAAAAAGGAAAAAAAAAAGATATTTAAGGAGGTCAAAATGGTATTAGCCTTATTTCATCATTACACACTGTATACATATCAAATTATCACACAGTATTCCAACAAATAATTACAAGTCTGTCTCAATTTCAGAAAGAATTAAAATGTTTAACCTAATTTAACTTAGATTATATATTGAAACAATATTTTAGATATAGTGAATTAAAGAAAATTAACTTTGCTTTTTTTAACTTTTTAACTTGCTAGAAACTGTATAACAATGTACATAACATGTGCATTAGTTTCTATAGGACAGCCATGGTTCAGCCCTTTTTAAAACTCTAACTCAGGTGTCCCAATACAACAGACATCTCTTATTAAGCACTATCACAACCCACTTTTTTTTTAAAGAATTTTTTTGTTGTTACTGATTTTTTTTGACACAGGGTCTCACTATGTAGTTCAGGCTGGTCTTCAACTCATGGTATTCCTCCTGCCTCAGCCTCCCAAGTGGTAGGATTATAGGTGTGTACCATCAAACCTCGTATTTGTAAGTCTTTCAGAATTACTTTTTTGTTTGTTTTGTTTTGAGACAGAGTCTTGCTCTGTAGTTCAAGCTGGCCTTAAACTCACTATTATAGCCCAGGCTGGCCTGAAACTTCCAGTGATCCTCCTGTCTCAGCCTCCTGAGTGCTGGGATTACAGGTGTGTGCCACCATGCCTGGCCACAATTACTTTTAAACAAAGGATGTTCTGGCCAGACATGGTACCATGCACCTATAATCTCAGCTACTTGGGAGGCTGGGGCAGAAGGACTGCAAGTTGGAGGACAGCTAAATGAAACTTTGCAAGACCCTTTCTCAAAATTTAAAAAAGGGCTGGGGATACAGGTCAAGGATAGAATGCTTGACCAGCATGCAGAAGGCCCTGAGTTTAATCCCCAGTACAGAGAAGGGAAAAAAAGATATCTTACAACGTGGCAGTACATGCCTGTAATCCCAGTGCTAGAGGCTGAGGCAGGAAAATCACCATGAATCTGAGGCCAGCCTGGGCTATATAGTGAGCTCAAGGCCAGCCTGGACTACATAGCAAGACCCTATCTCTAAAAGGAAAAAACAAAAACAAGAAAAACTTGGGAAATAAATGAATTGTTCGGAAAAACAGAAAAAAATTTTTCCATTCATGCATCAGCTCTTCACAGGGATGACTTTATCCTATGGAAAATACAAGGATCCTCAAGATCTGCCACAAAGAATGCATTCCACAGGGAAGTCATACCTTCCTCCTCAAGATACACATGCCACCAGACAGGAATGAATAACCATCACAAAGAGCCAAAAAAAAAAAAAAACCAAACAAAGCCAGACCATCACCAAGATGAGTAGTCGGCCTAAAATGAATTTTAAGCAGTAATATATAAAAATGAACAGCGGCACCACGTTACCCACCTCTTCTAAGAAACTGCTCTTTTAAAAATTTTTAACATACACATAGGATTTTAATGTCTTAGGTGCAACTAGGCCTTCAACACACCTCCACTCACTTGTGGCTGGAATTCCTCAAGTACTTAATGTATTAATGACGACTTTAAGCCACCAGAGCGCCTGGGCCTGCGCACTTGCTCTCCTCTCGCCAAGACACATTCTCTGGCCTGTGCACACTCACACATACACACAGCCAGAGAACAGAGCAGCTGCCACTACTGACTCACCAGCCAGACGACGGCTGACGTCCACACTTCTATGATTTGGATTCCAATGTACTAGTAAGAAACTATCAAGCTTTTAGGAATCTGGTAATGGACATCATTTTTAACTTAAAAAGCTCTATGTTCAATGACTACTGCACCATATTCCACTAGGAAATGACTCAAAGATTTCCACAAAAAAATGAACTGGAATGTACATGTAGAAATGCTTTCATAGATTTCTGGTAGCAGGGTCAGGACAGGGCTCATCTTTGTCATCGAGCCTCTTCATTCTAAACCGTGAGGATGGAAAGCATCTTTTACACAAAGCCAGCTGTCTAACACATCTGTACAGGTGCAATAGTTAACAACACACGTCTGAGCAAAGGCTTTACCATATGGACAAGTTTCCGCTTTTCAAGTGTAATCACCTATTGGAGAACCTAGTACTGTAGCATTACGCTAGGGTCCACACACCCTCCACCCCGCACTGGAGACTGAAATCAGAGCCTTCCAACTGAGTTGCATACCCAGTGGTTTTTAATTTTGAGACAGGGTGTCACTAAGTTGTACAGGCTGGGATCAAATATGCAATCCTCCTGTCTCAGCCTCCCAGAATGCTGGAATTAAAGGTGTGCACCACCACGTCCAGGTGTTAGGATTTTTTAATATACTGTCTAATCAGCAGAAAAACTATCAAATATATTACCAAGATTGAAAATATTCATACAGGGAAACCAGGTTTACCTTTCATACTGCCAAAGTTGCCAATTTCTATATGCTCTGGCTTATTGAGTCACTTCAGAGATTTAAAAGAAAAAAAGCTCTTACTACTCTTTCAAAAGTTTATACTTACTTTTCCTGTTGCTGGTAAAAGTATGAGCTCATGTGGTAAAAACCTGATGTTTTCAATACTGAATATACAAGACATTAATAGTGTACAATATACTCTAGTATATGGTATTCAAACTGTAGGGTAGGATGATACTTATAATTAATGGTATGTACAGTTATAATATGACAAAACAGTAACTCTTTAAAACTGTAAAAGCAGCTGGGCACAGTGTTACAGGCCTGCAATCCCAGCACTTGGGAGACTGAAGCAGGAGGATCACCATGAGTTTGAAGCCTAGGCGAGTGAACTCAAGGCTAGTCTGAACTACATAGCAAGACCCTGACTCAAAAAACCAAAACAAAAATAAATGAATGAATGATTGATCGATCATAGAAGCATTCAGTAAGAAGTTTAGATAGGGTACCCCAATGTCCCATGTGCCACACAAAAACTGGATTCACAAAAACAAGCCTGATTTCTACATGACATGCGGAAAAAAGTTTTTTGGGAGGTGGGAATACAAGTAAAAAGTGAAAAACAAAATTTAATCCAATCTAAACTCTATACATTACATATTAGAATTCAAGCTGTACTGCTAGGTTTAAACTGCATACCTTCTTTCTAGTAACATTTCATAAAAGTCTCTGACATCTTGACCAGATTTCTCCATGCAGTGATAAAATGCCAGCTGACTGTCCCGATTTGCAAAATCCACCTTTAAAAAACACAAGTTTAATATAAATTTCAGATTTTAATCATGGAAAATGTTTTCCAACTTGATATTCTTCACAGTTCAGGAAAATTTTCAGGAATGACCAATCTATCTCAAGTGAAGTAGTCCTCATAAATTACATGTTGTTAATCTAAGATAATCTAAGATCTCTCCAATTTTACACAGTTTTTATTTTTTAAAAACAGGATCTAGCTGTGTAGTAGTTCAGGCTGGCCTTGAACTCAGGATGTAGCCCAGGGTGGTACTGAACTTGCAGCAACTCTCTTGCCTCAGCCTCATGAGTGCTGGGATTACAGGCATCTGCCACCACACCTGGCCAATTTTACACAAATCTTGACAAATGTAATTCAAGGTTCCAGAAGAAGTAGAAAAAGTAAAATGGAAAACTGGAACAAATCACTACTAGGATCCTAGGTTGGTGATTAAATAATGAGATCAACTATATCCAGCAAAATCTCTGATGTACATAAATTTGCTGATGAGGCCGGGCATGGTGGCGCATGCCTGTAATCTCAGCACTCGGGAGGCTGAAGCAGGAGGATGGATCCTTCTGAGTTTGAGGCCAGCCTGAGGTACAAAGTGAGCTGAAGACCAGCCTGAACTGTATAGCGAGACCCTGTCTCAAAGAATGAATGAATGAATGAACGAATGAATGAATGAATAAATAAATAAATAAATAGCTCCATAACTTTGCTGGAACAACAGCTACAACATAAAGTGATATGGAAGAATATTTCTTCATTCAGAGTCACTAAAGCATATGAAGCTATTAGCAATACCTCTACCATAGCATTTCAATCTAACCATCAGCTATTAAGTACATAGTTCCGGGGCTGGGGATTTAGCTCAGCGGCAAAAGCGCCTGCCTGGCAGGCGCAAGGTCGTGAGTTCGGTTCCCGGTACCGGAGAAAAACCAAAAAAAAAAAAAAAAGTACATAGTTCCTTCAAACCATGTTCCTTCAAACCATAGTTCCTTCAAACCATAGTTCCTTCAAATTTTCGAACAAGTAATACTGAAGTAACATGTCTGCAGTGGTTCCCCGCTCTTTAGGAGAGGAGAAAAGAAGAGAAAACAAGAATCTTCAGGAAGTTGACTGAGTGACACTTTGCATCTCCGGGCACAGACACACTTGTCACAACCATGAGGGGGCTTGCACTGCATATGTACCCATGAGCCTCATGGAGCCAGAATGGTTTTTAGGGAAGGATCTGTGATTCCTGGCTCCCAAGACCTATGCCTACAAGTAGCTGAGCATAAAAATCCTAATTTTCCCCCTAAAAACTGAGGCCATATAAACCACGTTCTATAAACCACTCCACCTGCTGTCAATCTACAAATGCCAGTTATTTGTGGGTTGAGATTTGAATACAATTTTTTTGTGATTCCTTTTTTTTTTTTTTTGGCACCAGGAATTGAACTCAGGACCTTGCGCTTGTGCCACTGATTATATGCCCGGACCTGTTGTGATTCTTTTTAAAGTCATTTTGCACACCTTAATTTTATTGCCACCAATTTTCCTCCCCTTGGTCTCTTTTACAGCTGCTTGTGCATATTCAATCTCATTGTAGAGAACCAGGGCCATGCCTTTTAAACGGTCAAACACCACCTGCAAAAAAACAACGAAACAAAATTAAAACCAAGTAAGAACTTCATCCACTGGTCTTATGTGGCAGTCTTCACAAACTCCGGAGTCAAAAAAATGTTATCAAGGAGAAAACTTCTTGGTTTTTTTTTTTTGAGACAGGGTCTCACTATATAGCCCTGGCTAGCCTCAAACTCACAGCAATCCTCTTGCCTCAGCCTCCCCAAGTGCTGGGATTACAGGTATGCGCCACCACACCTAGTTTTGTTTTTTGAGACAGGGTGTTGCTGTGTAATTCAAACTGGCCTTGAACTCACTATGTAGCCCAACCAGGCTTTGAACTTGGCAAGCTCTTCCTGCCTCAGCCTTCCATGTGCTGAGATTACAGACGTGTGCCATCAAGTCCAGCTCTATTTTATTTAACTCTAGAGTAATTTCAAATTTTTCAAAAATCTCAGCTGGTTTGAACAATACTTTTTCAAAATATTCTCACCATAAACTAACAGATACAATGCCCTTATAGACCAAATTTTAGGGGGAAAAAAAAATTAACATGCAACTTATTAAAGAAAAGGAAAAGTCAGTACTAGAAATTGAGACCAAAAAAGAAAGGCAATAATAAGAAAGGGAAGTCAGAAGTAAGTTTGAACCACGCCATAGCTCCCACCTACCTTTATCACAGGCCCATATCGGCAGAAATGTCGTGTTAAATATTGATCCGACACATTTGAAGAGAGCCCATCTAACCACACGCAGTTGGTAGGCATGCTCTTTCCAAAACCCAACTGAATATAAAAGGTGAAATTTCTATTAGTAAAGTTCACAATCACTACTCAATTAAAAAACTGTAAGACAATTACTCTTCTGTAGAAAGTCTTACCTTCTCCTCTTGCGCGTCAGGGAGGGAACCCAGAGCACTGAGCATGTTAAACACATGCTCTACCACTGAGTTAGCCCTAGCCCTGAAAATCAACATCTTAAGTGGAAACTATGTGGTTAAAATTAAATAAAAATTTACAAGAAAAGCAATCCCGTCTGGCTAACCAGGTATGAGTTCAAATTACATTAAGATAGGAAGCTGATACAAAGCAAAGTGTTATCTCCTTTATGGTTATCTAACTGTCCTGCAATCTTAAATAATCAGACATAGGCCCAAAAACTCCAAGTCATAAAGCAAATCATAACACAATATTCTGTGAAAATTAATTTACCTTGAGACGATTATTTCCAAGGTACTCCCCATCCATCTTCTTAATAGCTTTACAAACACTGGCAATATCACAGTATTGCAAGAATGCATACTGAGGAACTCCATTTACTTTCTTAATATCAATGTCCTGAAAAAGCCAAAAGTACCCTTAGTAATATATCAACATGAAAATAAAACAGAATTAGCCAAGTCCATGTAGAGCATTTATTTCTTTAAAAAAAAAACACAATCTTCACTTTTTAATTAAAATTGTACATTGCAATAATTGTAAATCAGTAGTTTAAAACTGACTACCACAGCATTTATAGACACGGATTATTAAATCCATGCCATGTGAAGCTCTTGGAGAACAGCAATTATACTGCAACTCAAAATTTAAAATGCATAATACCAATGTTAAAAGAAGTTATGGGGGCTGGGGATTTAGCTCAGCGGCAAAGCGCCTGCCTGGCAAGCGCAAGGTCGTGAGTTCAGTTCCTGGTACCGGAGAAAAACCAAAAAAATAAAAAACAAAAAATAAAAGAAGTTATGATCATGAAAGAGTAGTCTTAGAATTCCTTTTGGCGGGGGCTGGGGATTTAGCTCAGCGGCAAAGCGCCTGCCTGGCAAGCGCAAGGTCGTGAGTTCGGTTCCCGGTACCGGAGAAAAACCAAAAAACAAAACAAACAAAAAAAAAAAGAATTCCTTTTGGCATCATCTAATACCCTAATATGATAAAAAAAATTTAAAGCATGCAGTCCTCAGCCAGAAGACAGACACACATGTACACACACCCCAGAGATACCAGTATAATCAACTGAACCACGGCCTGTGTCTGATGCTAAGAATATAGGAACAGTTCCTCCTATCCAGAATGAAAGGATATATAAATACCTGAACTACTCTGTGAAGAAATACCTGAAGTTCTTTTATAGAAGCTTCCCCAGAAGACCATCCTTAAATTAAAGACACACTCGCCAAAGAACATCCCCTCTCCTTGAAATGCACAAACCCTGTAGTGGTACCTGACACCCCCATCCTGTCTACTGGAAGGAACAGGTGGAAAATACCTGGCATAGACATGAAAGCAGTCCCGAGAAACCGAACACTTAAAACAATGACCTGTGTCATAAATTGCAGAGTAAGTACTGTAAATATGTATGCCCTCTTATGGGGAGCTTAATTGATACTTAAAAGCAGCAGTAATACAAAAGCCAATAATCGACACTTCAAAACAATAAAATGACTAATGTATTGAAGAACTACTCAATAGATCATTAAAAAGAGCAATGATCTATACTAAATATTCTTCAAAATAATAGTAAAGAGGAGCTAATTTTCAGTTATACAGAATATAAAAACCCAGGATAACCCAGCTTGGAAGTGCATGCCTGTAATCCCAGCACTCTGGGAGGCTGACAGGAGGACTGAAATTTCAAGCCCAGCCCAGGCAATCTAGCAACTCTCAAAATTTAAAAAAAAAAAACTTTTTAAAGAGTTCAGGACATAGTGCAGTGTGAAGGCCCTGGGCTCAATTCCCACTATCACAAAACAAAAATCAGTAATTCCATATAAGGGAAATATCTCCAAAGGATATTGGTGAACAAACTCACTAAACAGGTTCTTCTATTTTTAGTAGAACATGTTATCAATAGCAGCAGATCATTTTTCCAAAAGACTGTGTATCATTTAAAATAGTAATACTCAACGCCAGGTAAGGTGGCACATGCTTTTAGTCCCACTGCTCCAGAGACTGGCCAGAGGATTACTTAAACCCAGAAATTTGAGCACAGCCTAGGCAACAATAGCAAGACTTTGTCAAATCAATGAAAGAGAAGGGGGAGGATGGGAGGGAGAGAGGGAGAAAGAGACAGAGAGAGAGAAGGGAAGAAAAGCAATTGTCAGCAACTGCTAGTCTGAGATTATGGCTTTCAAACAAAATATAGACACGGCCACCTTATTAACACAATAAATCACTCTCTTTTCAGCAATACTGATGACTATATCCATGTACCCAACTATATCTTTTTATAAACTACTCCAAAAGTACATAACATCCATATTTAAATAAATGTTTGAAAGCTTTATCAATTTATGGATTTATGAATGCCAAAGAAAAAATTAAATAATATGCATACAGAAGTCTAAAGACAGAAACCCGAGTCCAGCTAGTTAAGTGAGCTCCACATCACCCACCTAGGTAGGCAGTAGAGTTTGAATCAATACATACCACTCTCATAAAACCAGAAGAGTTTGAAAAATCAAAAATAACAGGAAAAGAAAAGAAGATAAATATTTTAATAGTATCATTCTCTAAATATATAGCTTTTTGTTTTTCCTTTTCTACCAAATATATCTCTTGCTCCCAATTTTTAGGAGGTTTAGATCAAATAATGTTTTATTTACAAGACTAGATTATGTTAGATTATGCCATTAAAAACAAAACAAGGGGCTGGGGATTTAGCTCAGTGGCAAAGCGCCTGCCTGGCAAGTGCAAGGTCGTGAGTTCGGTTCCCGGTACCGGAGAAAAATTTAAAAAACAAAAAAACAAACAAAACAAAACAAAACAAAACAAAATAAAGCAAGCATCTTTTGTTTAAAGCAACGTTTCCAGCAAGGTGTCATGGTGTACACCTGTGATCCCAGTAGTATAGGTGATCAAGGCAGGTGAATTCCAAATGTAAGCCCAGTGTTGGCAATTTAGTGATGTAGCAAGACTCTGTCCCAAAATAAATACGTACACAAAAAAGGGCTGGAGATGTAGCTCAGCACACAGGCCCTTATTTCAATAGCCAGTAACATCCGCCCTCCAAACACAAAGAATGTAAAAATGGACAGGACAAAGGAAAGATGCATGAATATACACAGATCCCTGAAAGATTAACAACAGCTATTCTTACCAAAAACATTTTTACTCTCTAGAGTCCAAATATACTAGAGCAGTTTCTTCACTGTCATTAATAATGAAGAAACTTGCAGAAACAGAATTTCCTTATTTTTTCAAACAGAACAAAACAGTATATCCCAAGACTTTAAAGCAATGACCAAACTACTTTTACTGTAACAGCTTTAAATCAAAGGAAACAGAAAAACACTTGTATCCCTAAGAATGACTTACATAATATAAAAAGTGACTTCACTTAAAATTTTATTTATTTATTTATTCAGATTTTTTTTTTTTTTTTTTTTAAAAGACACAGCCTCAGGAGGGTGAGGCAAGAGGATCACCTCCAATTCAAGGCCAATATGGGCTACATAGTGAACTCAAAGCCAGACTGGAAAACATTGTGAGAGACCCTGTCTCAAAAAACAACAGAGGCCAAGCATGATGGTGCACATCTATAATCTGAACACTCAAGAGGCTGATGCAGGAGACTGCCTCGAGTTTGAGCCCAGTCTGGCCTATACAGTGAGTTCAAGACCAGCCTGAAATACACAGCAAGAACCTGTCTCAAAATAAAAAATAAAACAAACAAAAAAACTGCACACTGGTATGGTGGTGCACGCCTATAATCCCAGCACTCAGGAGGCTGAGGCAGAAGGATCACTGTGAGTCTGAAGCCTGGGCTACAAAGCGAGTCTGAAGCCAGCCTGAACTACATAGTGAAACCCTATCTCAAAAAGACAAAAAGAAAAAAAAAAGAACTCAATGGACAAAGAAAATAAGTGAGGAAAAATATATTCTACAGGCTTTTACGTGAACAGTTCCCAATGGGCTGCTCCAGATCATCCTTTTGTTTTTAGGACAGGCTCTCACTACATTGCCCAGGGTGGGCTCAAACTCCTGGACTCAAGTAATCTCACCTCAATTTTCCAGGTAGCTGAGACTATAGGCATGTGCCACTGCATCCAGCTTGGGTCCTCTTTTAACAAGAGTTAAAAATGCACAGAGCAAATGAGAAAACATATTAATTACACCATTAAATATCATCTTGCCAAACATAATCTGTATTATACTTTATGACAAAGATTTGGTTTGTTTGTTTTGAAACGGGTCTTGCTATGTAGTCCAGGCTGGCCTTGAATTCACTAGGTAGCTGAGAGTGGCCTTGAACTCGCAGCGATCCTCCTGCCTCAGCCTACCGAGTGCTGAGATTACAGGCGTGTGCCATCACACCTGGCTCAATATTGTTTTTATTAACAAAGCAACATACCACAATTTCTCCAAAGCGCTGGAAGATGTTGCGAAGGTCATGGTAAGTAGTGGTTTTTTCAAGGTTGCCAATAAAGAGAGTTCTTGTTGCTTTGGGATGAAATTCATCTATCCTTTCATCCAAGGGGCGAAACTCATTTTCACTCTCCGTTTCTGTAAATAGAGCAGGGAAAGGTAAAACTGAGAGGAGAGCTTTAATACATATTTATGTATCTGGGAAAATCTACATTTAAGTAAAACTGAAATAATGGACTTGAATACTCACAAACCGAAATACTTTAAACACTTTCAAAATATCTGCCCCTTGTTAACACCAAAGTAGAACATAGATCCAGAGGCTAATAAAGACAAACTGACACTCCTGTTTAATCTTTAACATAGAAAATGAACTTGAAATGGAATAAAATTTCAATCTAAATGAATTTGTTTTCAAAGTAATCACTGGCACACACAGTTTTAAAACTCCAGCAAAAACTGTAAAGCTGGTTCCCAATGTGGAATATAAAACTACAATCTAAAATGTATTTTCTAAAAACTCAGCTGAAAATATTCTAGTTTCATTAAATTCATTTACTTTTCAACATTTTAACATGGTTAGCATTTCATGTCAGTCAAACTAATTAACACAATAACCCAACTGTCTAAACATAGGACTTTTAGATACAAAAGAAACTGTAGAAAACTGATTAAAGCAACTTTAACAAAACATCTTCTTTTGGTGTTATATGGTCCCCAATGACAGAGAGGGTAAACATTCCTCACAGCTTCTATTTTTTATGATCCTGGGTCTTGGCTTAATTTCTAGTTCAATCATCGCATTTCTCTGAAGCTCCACTTATTAACTTGGTCTAGGGCAGGGGCATTCAAAGTTTTGTTGGTAATTATAGTATAGTACTGTATGTTCTCTATTTTAAAAGATTTTTAATTTTTTTTTAAGAATAGGGTTTCACTGTGTTGCCTAGACTGATCTCAAATTCTTAGGCTCAAGAGATCCTTGTACTTAAGCCTCCCAAGTAGATGAAAAAGCTTCTTTACAGTTAAAATTTCAAGCTGGACCTACCACTTAGACATTAAAGAGTCACCAACTAAATATCCCTGTATTAGAGTCTCATTATTTTACAACTTTGATCGGTTCTAAATATTTATATAAAAAAATTTATATAGATTATATGTATTCTTCATGCAGTTCTGACTTGTCCCAAATGTGTTATAGAAGAACTCCTAGAAAAAAAATCCAGAAAAGCAAGCATGGAGGCATACACCTGTAATCTCAGCACTTGGGAGGCTGAGGCAGGAGGATCACTGAGTTTGAGGCCAGCCTGGGCACCATAAGTGAATTCCAGGCCAGCCTGAATTACATAGTGAGATCCTGTCTCAAATTAAAAAAAAAAAAAAACCCTGAGTAGCTCTTAGCTCAGTCTAATTTTGGGCAATACAAGTCAAGCTCAGTCGGGAAATGAGTGTAAGTTCCCCTTTGAAGAGGTGATATTCCCTTAAATCCCTGCACTCCATCATAAAAGTACGCACATTGTGTAATACACACGCTAACAACTCTGTGCCTGTTGTAATGTACAAATAACATGTACACAGTCTTTTTTTTTTGGTACCAGGAATTGAACTGACAACCTCACGCCTGCCAGGCAGGTGCTGTGCTGCTGAGCTAAATCCCCAGCCCCTACGTACATATTCTTATTATAGGAATTGTATTTTCTTCCTCTTAATTATAAAATAAAATGAGGATTTTAGAAACATTCATGTTTACTCTATAAAGGGGCCACAAATTCTATTCAAAGTCCTACCGCTCAATTGTGTGGTGCTGAGGTACACCTCTATGGAAAAGTGCTTGCTTAACATACGTAAGGCCCTGGTATGGTCCCTCAGCACCAAAATTAAAAAGTTCAGCAGTTTCACATTCACAAGGTAACTGTAGAATTTTCATGTTTCTACCAATACCTTTTTCAAATTTATTCAAAAGTTGCTTTAAATCACAGGTCCCCAAAACTGAGTGTGTCAATTCTGAATGAGTTAGGTGGGCTGGAGTCAAAGAGGTCATTTTTAAGCAAGCACTACAGGTTGTTCTGAAATAGAGGAAACGCTGACCCATGTTGAACCTGTTGTAACAGGTCTTATAAGGAGGTTCAAGTTAACAAAATATTCCCTTGAAATTTTCTCCTTGGCCACACTGTCTTTCAAGGTTGTGTGCCCCACAATAACTGATCCAATCTGTGCTGGGTGTAATGGAAATAAATCTCATCTAGTGAGTTCCTCAGGTAATATTAACATGCAAGGTTTTTTTCTAATTCAGAGTAATTCTGAGGGCTGGGGATATAGCTCAGTGGCACAGCACCTGCCTGGCAAGTGCAAGGTTGTGAATTTGATTCCCGGTACAAAAAAAAAAAAGAAAATGAAAAAGGAAAAAAAATCGGTTTCCATTAGAGTAATTCTGTTGTCATTCTCTTAGGAACTATCTCCTACACTCTTTAAAAAGAGAAGGCATCAAAAGTACGTCAATGAATAAAGCTACAATTGTGTCTATGCCCTGGTAATATGCCACTCTCTCATAGCTAGAATACAGTGTGTGTAACCTGCCTCTTACCTGGCCCTATCCATGCTGTTACTTCAATCTGCATACCAAAGAAAAGCTTTCCTTTTGATGCAGTCAGTGCTTTTTCTTGGTCCTCTTGTTGCCGAAAGAATACCAGACCATACCTCTCTTCTGAAGCTCCATGGATTTGCACTGAAGTCACCTTGCCAAATTTCTTAAATTCATGGAAAAGGCCATCTTTAAGGCTTGTATCTAAATCCCCAAGGAAAAACAAGTTAACACTTCCAATGTAATTACAACTTAATTAGCAAAGTATTAAATCTCTGGCCTGACTTTTGGTTGGTTTCGTTTTGCTTTGAGATGGGGGTCTCCATATGATGCCCATGCTGGTTTCAAATTCCTGGGCTTAAATGATTCTTCCACCTCAGCCTCCCAAGTACTATGACGACAGGAGCAGACAACCACACTCAGCTTGGCTTGGTTTTTGATCTAAGTCTTGTTACCATTAAAACATTACTGCTGGGCATGATGGTACATGCCTGTAATCCCAGCACTAGGGAGGCTGAGGTAGGAGGATCACTGTGAGTTCGAGGCCAAGCTGGGCTACAAGTGAGTTCAAGGTTAGCCTGAACTGCATAGTAAGATCCTGTCTCAAAAAGAAAAGAAAAAAAAAAATTACGTTTTCTGGCTAGAACCATGTAACTCAGTGGTAGAGTGTTTGCCCAGCATGTGCAGAGCTCTCAGTTTGAGACTCGGCATCACAAAATTTTTAAAAATTAAAATTAAATAAATAAGGGCATCAGGGCATCAGTGGTAGAGACTCATTTAGTATACACAAAACCCTGAGTTTAATCCTCAGTGCCAGCCAGGCGTGGTGGCGCACAACTGTAATCCCAGCACTTGGAGGCTGAGGCAGGAGGATCGTTGCGAGTTCGAGACCAGCCTGGGCTACAAAGTGAGCTCAAGGCCAGCCTGAACTGCATAGTGAGACCCTGTTTCAAAAAGACAAAAAAAATTCTCAGTGCCATCCCCCAAAGAAGTTTTTTACTTTTTCAATTAATTCTAAAAAGTTATTTAAAGGGCTGGGGATATAGTTCAGCGGCATAAGCGCCTGCCTGGCAAGTGCAAGGTCCTGAGTTCAATTCCCCACACCAAAAAAAAAAAAAAAAAAGTTATTTAAGAGATTACTATACAATTCCAAAAATAAAGTTGATGTTAGATATCAATGTATATTAAGAAGGATATTTGGTTTTCAGGGATAATGCCAATAGAAAGTATCCATAAATGGATATAAAACAGCGTAACATAAAGGATTCACTTTGAGAGAAAAAAAAAAATCTGTTGTAAAGTGCTTACCTAGCATGCTCAAGGCCCTGGGTTCAATCACCAGCACCATCAAAAAGTAAAAATAAATAAAAATAGAGCAGGAAAAGAGGAAGATAAGAGACAGATGAAATGAGAATGGCGAAATGCTGACTTGTAAAATCTGGAGTATGGTGTAAGAAAAGTTCATTTTCTTAATAATTTCATAGTAAAAACTTATACATATATGTCTTTGGGGGGGTGGGCGGAAATACAGAATGTAACTCAGGACTTCACACTTGCCAGGCAAGCTCTGTGCCACCGACCTAAATCCCCAGCCCTATACCTTTGTAAATAAGTGAAAGTGTTAAAAGACCTAGGAAGGAGCATCATTTCATAGCTTTCCCGGTACCATCTCAATGATAAAATTGGGTGGGATGCATCATGTAATACATGAACAACTTCAACACCAATAAAACACTCTGTGGCCAAGGCTAAAGCTCAGAGGAAGAGTTTGTGCTTAGTACATGGAGACCCTAGCTTTGATATTTAGCACCAAAAAAACAAAACAAAGGCCAGGCATGGTGGCACACACTTGGAGGATGAGGCAGGAGGATCCCTGCGAGTTTGAAGCCAGTCTGTGCTACAAAGTAAATTCAAGGTCAACTACATAGTAAGACCCTGTCTCAAAAAAAAAAAACCAAAACCAAAACAAAAGTTTCATAGGCTATTCGAAAAAATAAGCAACAATGGAAATGTACTTAGCCAAGAAATGCTTAATTTGGTCTTTGATAATTTAACTGTGTACTAGCAGTTTTAACTTGTTTACATACTCAACACGCCTAATGTAGGAATAACAGTACACTATGGTCAGCTGCCTATAAAAATATCAGGCGAAACGAGGCTGCAGAATAGCTTGTACTAGACTTTTCCATAATTCATGGCTTCCTTCATTTAAAATGTTAATTATTTTGAAGTGTATTTTCTACCCTAATTTTATACTCAAAGTTATTTCATGTAACATAGGACAACATAATAAATCTAAATGAGGGCTGGGGATTTAG